TCGGGCCCAGCCGCTCCGCGGCATGTGGGATCCTCCCGGACCGGGGCACGAACCCGTGTCCCCTGCATCAGCAGGTGGACTCTCAACCACTGCGCCACCAGGGAAGCCCCAATTTTATTCTTTAGTTTGTGGATATCCAGTTGTTCCAGCATCATTTATTTATTTATTTATTTATTTATTTATTTATATTTTTGGCTGCGTTGGGTCTTCGTTGCTGCACACGGGCTTTCTTTATTTGCAGCAAGCGAGGGCTACTCTTTGTTGTGGTGCACAGGCTTCTCATTGCGCTGGCTTCTCGTTGCAGAGCATGGGCTCTAGGTGCATGAGCTTAGTTGCTCCACGGCATGTGGGATCTTCCCAGACCAGGGCTCGAACCCGTGTCCCTTGCGTTGGCAGGTGGACTCTTAACCACTGTGCCACCAGGGTAGTCCCCCAGCATCATTTACTGAAAAGACTATTCTTTGCCCAGTAATTTACCATAATGTAAAAGTCAAAGCCATTCTTTAAAAACTCATTTGATTGCTAAAAGATTTCTATTTCATTTATGGGAAATGGCTTACGAGCAGTCTTTTTTTAGGTAACTGCCTAATTCTCCTTGAGTGTTTTTTTCCTTTTGTTTCAAAGAAAATAAAATGAGCAAGTGGGACGTATTAAATGAATGCAAGGTTGGTTCAATATTGGGAAATTGATTAGTATCTTATACAGCATTATTAAGTATTAGGAACAATGATACTATTTCTCTAGATGCTGAAAAGCCTGTCAAAAAATTCAATACCTATTACAATAAAAGCACTTAGAAAATAGGAATTGAAGGATATTGTCTTAATATGATAAAATACACACATAGTCCTAAAGCCTGCATCTTTCTTTTTAACTCTTATTTTAAAATAATGATAGATTTACAGGAGGTTACAGGAATCCTGTGCACCCCTGAGCTCCTCTCCCCATGCCAGAATCCCTATGCAACCACAGCACAAAAGCAAGAAATTGACATTGGCACAGTCCACAGTGTCAGTTATATATGTGTTCGTTTGTGTTGTGTGTGTAGCTCTGTGCAGTTTGTCACATGTGTAGCTTTGCGTAATTGCCACCACAACTAAGGTGCTCTTCTGTCCATCACCACAGACTCCCTGTGTTATCCCTGATACCCACATCCTCCTCCCCACCTCCCTAATGCCCGGCCACCACTCATCTGTTTTCTATCTTTGTTATTATGTTATTTATAGTTACATACATGGAATCCTACAGTAGCATTTTGTGATTGGTTTTTTTCACTCAGCACAGTTTCCTTGAGATTCATCCTAGTGGTTGCATGTATCAGTAGTTCATTCCTTCTTACTGCCGTATAGTTTTCCGTGGTGAGAATGGATCACAGTTTGTTTAATGAGTTAGGCTTTGAATGACATTTGGGTAATTTCCAGTGTTTGGCTATCACTAACGAGGCTGCTATGAACATTGGTTTAGAAGCTGCTGTGTGAAAAGAAGTCTTCAGTGTGATTGTTGGGTTGTATGGTAAGTCCATTTTAAGTTTTGAAAAGGAGAACCACACTGTTTTGCAGAGTGCTTGTACCTTTCTACATTCTCTTCCCCAGGGACGGGGGAGTAAGTGGTTTCTCTGCATCTTTGCCAGGTTTATCATTATCGCTGATTTTCACTTCAGCTGTTCTCATAGGTATGTCATGATACCTCCTTGTTGTTTTAACCTTGAGTAGTTTTTATTCTCAAGTTTTTTCCCAATTATGTAAATTTGTAATCATACTGAAAAGTTAAAAGAATAACAGAGTGACTACCCATATACCTTCCACCTAGATTTTAAAATTGTTAACATTTTAATCTGTTTTCTTTCTATACGTGTGTATATATTTCTCCGTATTATTAGAAATAAGTTGGAGACGATGTTGCTTCACCCCTAAATACCTGAGCATGCATTTTTTCAGAGTGTCAACATTCTCATAGGTATCTACAATTCTATTATCCAATGTAAGAAAAGTAATAATAAATCTATATACTCTCTAGTCCATATTCAGATTTCCCCGTTGTTTCAAATATGTCTTTTATAGCTCTTCTACCTCCTTGAACCAGATTCCATTTTATAGTTATGCATTACATTTGAATATTATGTCCTTTTATTCTAAAACAATGCCCCTGCTTTTTTTTCATTAAATTGACGTTTAGTAGTCTAGTTATCTTTTAAAATGTCCCATGTTCTAGATTTTTCTTTTCCTAATTGTCATCTAATTTTTCTCTCTCTTTATATTAGTGTAAACTGGAAGTTAGTTCTAGAGCCTTGATTAGATTCAAGTTAAATGTTTTTGGCAAAAATGCTTCCTAGGTAGGGATGTGTATTTCATAGCGCATCCCATCAGGTGACATAGGAGCAGTGAAGCCCAGGCTGATTCATTGGTTTACGGAGGTGACCACCAGTTCCCTCCACTCGTGAAGTGCATTTTCCCCTTTGCAATGGGTAATCTTGTGTATATGGTTTTGTTTTTGTATTTAGGACTTTCTTTAGGATAGATTGCCAACAACATAAATACTGGGTCAAAGACTGACAACATTTATAAGTCTTCCGATATTTATATATGTTGTCAAATTGCTCTTTAAAACCTGTGGTTAGAGCAGTGTTAAGTGTTCCTTTCACTGCACAAGAGCAGGCATTGATGATGCCTGGGATGGGAAGTGCTTCTAGTTTGACAGAATATGGTTTACCCTTTTTTACAAATTACATTTCTTTCATTACTTTTGATTACTTTCCTTGTCTGTCAGTCATTGGTATATCTTTTTTTGTGAATTCTGCCCTTTAATTGTTTACCTATTTGGTATTAGAATAACTTTTGATTTGAGGTCTTTGGATAATAATGGTAGTTCATTCTTGTTATATTTGTTTTCTGTTTGTGTGTCTCATTTTTTGTTGTTTAAAAAGCTTTAGACATTCTTCCTCATCGAATCTGTCTCTTTTCTTTGTAACTTCAGTTAGCAAGTCTCACCCATCGGGAGTTTTGATGGAGTTTTGATAAGTATCTACTTCTTTTCTGCTAACTTTCAAAAATATTGAACTCTTTCAGAATTATTTGTCTATCATAAAAACGAACTTATACAAATTCAAGTAGTCCAGAACTTTTAGGGGTCGGGGGAGGTGGGAGAAATAAGTGAAGGTAGTTATTCCAGTTGAAAGATGAATAAGTCCTGGGAATGTAACGTACAGCATGGTGACTGTAATTAACAATACTGTATTGTACATTTGAAAGTTGCCAGGAGAGTAGCTCATAAAGGTTCTCAACACACACACACAAATTGTAACTGTGAGGTGACAGATGTGTTAACTAACGTTATTGTAATCATTTCATTATATAATATATATAATCATTATGTTGTATATTACATGCACCTTAAACTTTCATAATGTTACATGCCAATTATATCTCTACAAAGCCGGGGGGGGGGGGGAGAAAAGAAAATTTAAAACATCTTGGACAAAAATAAAATATAAACTGGGAATTATTCCCCTCCCCTCCCAACAGTTTCATTCTCCAGAGACAACCACTTTTATAGTTTGGTGTACATTTCAGGCTTTTTCTCTATGTTTATTTATATGGCCATACACTTTCATGGAGTTAGTTTTGTTTTTACACAAATAGGATTCCATTGTGATTTTTGCATTTTGTCTTTCTTGTTGGGCAATATATTACCAACATCTTTTCCAAATTAGTACATAGACACTGACCTAATTTGAAGGCTCCTTGTTGTTCCATAGTATGACTATCCCAGAGTTTTACTCTTCCTCCTGGATGGACATTTAACTTGTTTCTTTTGGGAAGAGGGGCTATTAAAATCAGTGCTACAGTGAATACCCTTGTACATGTATTTCTGTGGTCGTATTGTTTTCAGAGAGAGATTGATCTCTTCTGTCCGTCTGGACTTTATGTTGATGCATGAACTAAGATCTACATCCATTTCTCTGTTTATTTTCTGAATAGCTAACTGGCATCATCTCCTGAGTGTCCTTCCCCTTTTCCTTCAATGCACACACTTAATTTATCCCATATGAAATTCTTCCTGGGAGGTTTGTCAGTGCTGTTTTTGGTTCTGATTTTGTGTTCAGTGGGTCAGATGTGTATGGAGGTGGGGGAGCTGGGAAGGCAGTTCTGAAGTGTATATGGACGTGACCATGGCCGGTGGTTCCTGACCCCGACTCGTGTCACAGCCTAGCTGCCTAACGTGCTGCTTCTTTTTTGCCCCCAGTACCTGTTCCTGACCTTCCCGAGGATTGTCTTCCTGTTGGGCTTTGTTGTGGTGCTGAGCTTCCTCCTGGGGAGCTACCTGTGCTTCTGTCTGTACCTGGCCGCTACCAACCAGACCACTAACGAGTGGTACAGAGGTGCCCGAGCCTGGTGCCAGCATTGCCCCCACGTGGCCTGGCCCCCGTCAGCAGAGCCCCAGGTTTACCGGAACATTCACTCCCGTGGGCTTTGGAGCAACCTTCGCGAGATCTTTCTCCCTGCTGTTGCACATTATGAGAGAAAGAAGAAATAAGAATGGGAAGAGTGTTACTGCCTTTTAAATATAGTTATGTTTATTTATACATATGGATACTTTCTTCTTTTTTAAAAAATTTTTATTTATTTATCTGGCTGCGTTGGGTCTTCGTTACTGCACGTGGGCTTTCTCTAGTTGTGTCGAGCGGTGGCTTCTCGTATTGCGGAGCACGGGCTCTAGGCGCGCGGGCTTCAGTAGTTGCGGTCATGGGCTCTAGAGCGCAGGCTCAGTACTTGTGGCGCACGGGCTTAGTTGCTCCGTGGCATGTGGGATCTTCCCGGACCAGGGCTCGAACCCGTGCCCCCTGCACTGGCAGGCGGATTCTTAACCACTGCGCCACCAGGGAAGTCCTGGATACTTACTTTCTAAGCATTGGTTTATTTCTTTTTTCCCGGTTTCCACTGTGTTTATGAATTGGCTCTCAGTAGCTAAGGAAGGGAAGGGAAAACTAGTGTTTACTGAGTGCCTAAACTTTGCCAGGTGCCATGCTAATAAACCCTGGGGCAGAAATACCCCTTGCTCATCCTCTGTTCATTCAGTCGGCTGGAGTGGAGCATCTCTAAAGTCCTGGTGCCAAGGGGCTCAAAGGTGAATTCCCAGAGGTTCCAGTTGACCTTGGTCTCCCACTGGGCTCCTGGACAGGAGGGGCCTTATGGCTGTGTCCTCTGATATGCAGGAGGGTCTCTGTGACTTGAAGTTGTCTCAGCTGCACCCTCTTTAATGTCCTTTCCATCTTTCCCTGGGAAAGGCCTTGGCTTTTTTCATCTCCTTGACCACACCCAGCATCCTCTCCTAGGCCCACCCTCAGGCCAGAATGGACCTTTTACAGAAGGCTCATTCCTGTGGCCTCTGGCCTGCCCTCCACTGGCCTCTTGTGACCACATTCAAGTCATTTCTGCCGTTTTTAAAATTCCAGGCTAGCCCCGCTGTTCATTCATTGCAGAGAGATGAATGCAGGAAAAGAGATTCACAGAAAGTGCTGAGGGTTTTGAGGTCGTAGTGGTCAGGCGCAGGAGACATGATTCCTATGGCCCTCCCAGGCTAGGCGGGGCCCATCTGGAGGGGGCTGGGGAATAGGGACTCGCAGGCAGGCAGGCATCATTTGTCGTCGCAGCCCCGAGTTCAGACTAGATATAGCGTTAAAGATGAACGGCTGGGGCCTGAGCCACGGCCCTGCACCACCACCCTATCCTTGGAAAAGCTCCGTGAAATCACATGTGTAGGCTTTGAACGCCGCGCAGAGAAAGCAAGGGGAGCTCCGGGCGGGCCTTGCGGGGCTGGGGGGCGCGCACAAGACCTAGATTGCGTTCTCTGGTGGATGTGGCCCCCAGCTCGGCAGCTCGGGACCCGCTCGGCGGTCGCGCGGCCCAGGGGCGGGGTTCAGGGGCGGGGCCCTTCCGCGCCCGCGGGCCGAGCCGCCAGGGGGCGCCCTCAGGGGGCGGGCCCTCGCCACCGCCTGCGCTTGGCCCTTGCGGGCCGCCGTTGCCGCGGTCGGCATCTGCCGCCTTTCGACTCCGCGGCATCGGGTTCCCAGGGCTCTTGGTGGCGCCGGAGTCGCACACCCGGGGCGCCCGCTGGCCGCCGGCGGCGGCGGTAGCCCCCTGAGCGGGCCCCAACGGGGAGCGGGGAGCGGGCGGGCGCCGCGGCCCAGGCCCAGGGTCGGCGGGCGGAGGCCGACTCGCGGCCTCTTTGTCTCGGCAGCGGCGGGCGCGTCCGCGGGGCCCGGGGCGGAAGTCCCGCCGCGCTCCCGGCGCCCCGGCCGCAGAGGTGGCACCATGAGCGACATCCGCCACTCGCTCCTGCGCCGCGACGCGCTCAGCGCCGCCAAGGAGGTGCTGTACCACCTGGACATCTACTTCAGCAGCCAGCTGCAGAGCGCGCCGCTGCCCATCGTGGACAAGGGCCCTGTGGAGCTGCTCGAGGAGTTCGTGTTCCAGGTGCCCAAGGAGCGCGGCGCGCAGCCCAAGGTGCGCCGGGCGTCCGGCTGCCGCGTCCCCGATAAGTAAACTCCGGCTCCTTTTTCCTTCTCGGTGACAAGCGTCGGCCAGACCACAAACGCTCTTCGGATCGGGGGCTCCGTCCTCACCCTTGGCTTTGCTCCTTCAGCAGCAGCCAAAATGCCCGTTTTGCGGGGCTTGTGACAACCATGTCTCAATGGTGTTAAAGGAAGAGACTTTAAAGGCCTGTTACCGAGAATCTCAAACCGCTGTAGGTCATCCTGAGCCCCCTAGGGTGATGCATAATGACGTAGAATGGTATTTCTCGAGATTAACAGTAGAGAGTTCTCCGTGGGACCCGGGCTTTAGGGAGGTGAAAAGTTCCCTGGTGAAACCAGTGTTTTCTGTTTTCTCACTGTGTGAAATTAATAGGCCGAATTTCTCATCGCTTCTCCTGGATTTGTTTTACAGAGATTGAATTCACTTCAGGAGCTCCAACTTCTTGAAATCATGTGCAGTTATTTCCAGGAGCAAACCAAGGACTCTGTCCGGCAGATTATTTTCTCATCCCTTTTCAGCCCCCAAGGGAACAAAGCCGATGACAGCCGAATGAGCTTGTTGGGAAAGCTGGTCTCCATGGCAGTGGCTGTGTGTCGAATCCCAGTGTTGGAGTGTGCAGCCTCCTGGCTCCAGGTACTTCTCTAGAGATAGCATCTCTGAGAGTCTCTGAAGAGGTGTTTCGTGTCAGGAAGTTTAATTTAATTGGATTTCTAGAGAGGTCTTTTCCATATGTTATCTCCTTGATGTTCCTGCCCTGTATGCTGATACCCCACACCTGTATATACAGGTGATCACCTGATCACCATTCTTGAGAAACAGTAGTTTGTAACAGTAAATGAAGGCTCCATCTTCAGAATAAGTGAAAATTAATTTTTCTTAGTTGAAAACAATAAGGTAGGATTTTGAAAACAGCTATGCATGCAGTCTCAAAGATTGGATTCTTTTTTTTTTTTAAGGTCACTATGTGTCAAACTGTGGCAATGTTTGCTTGTTTTTCATACAGTTAGATCAGTATACATGGGAGTTGTTCCGGGGTGCCATTTCAAAGCTGATGGCTCTTCTAATGGATATGGACATAGGAGCCTTCTACAGTGTTTTTAAATATCTAAAAAAAAAAGTATTTTCATAGTAGACTTCGTGTTAGATAGTTTTTTGGAAGATCTATTCTGTTTTGCTTTTTTGTCACTCAGAGTTGTTGAAAAATTCATAATCCACTTAGAGTAATTATTAACTCAAATTTTTGATTAACATCCTCAGCCAAGCTAACAAAATTTACTACATTCAGTTTTTCAAACCTGTTTCATTCCCAAGGACTTGACATCATTTGGGTTTTTTTTCAATTTATGTAAAAGTTTTTCCTGTGATCTTATTTATCTTTAAAATTTGGCTAGTAAAAATATATTTTGTTCTTTGTAATACACAGGTAAATCTCAAGGGAATCTGTACCTTAATGGCCACCATCCTGATTTCTGGGACACCTGAATAAATCTTGTGTGTTGTATTTAATGTCAAGGTTACCGCTATCCCTTGACAACCTGATGAAGTCAAGTTTAGCATCTTGAAATTCATCATATAATTTTCCATTTATCTCTCATGGTGCTGTTGCGCTGGCATTTTGGTAAAGTGAAAGCAGATGTTAACAACAGGAAAGGGTCTGGTGGCTTGGGTCAGGGTTTGCCACACTGGGGTGTAGGGCTGCAGCTTCCTCCAGAGAAAAGGGTGGAGATGGCTGGTTTGGTGCGTGAATGAACAATCTGGCCTGATGCCTCCTTGCAGTTTGCCCTGCAGGCCGTGTTGTAGCCCTGAAACTGTAGCATCCTGAACAACGGTTAAATGTGGCTACAGATGGGCATCTGAGTGGGAAGGAAAAAGACGGGAGGGTGGTGATGTAGGGTTCAAAAGTATTAACGGAATCCGTAATAGGACCGTAGGAAAATTTGAGAAAGTACTGCTCTAAATCATGTGATAGTTCACAGACTCTCCTAAGTCACATCAAAGTGGTACCAACTGTTAATTTTTACCTCTGGAGTCTCACCTGTAGGGTTACAAAAATTATCGTTTCCTCACTTGAAGTCAGGAATGATTTTTTCTGAAGTAAACTTCAAAGGTCGGCAGGCCTTTCATGTAAAGGGCAAGATAGTAAACATTTTAGGCTTTTCGGGTCATATAATCTTTCTCTTTTTTAAAACAAATATTTGTTTATTTGGCTGCTCCGGGTCTTAGTTGCTGCATGCGGGATCTTTGTTGCCACGTGCGGGATCTTTAGTTGTGGCATGCAGGATCTGGTTCCCTGACCAGGGATCGAACCCGGGCCCCCTGTATTGGGAGCGTGGAGTCTTAGCCACTGGACCACCAGGGAAGTCCCTCGGGTCATATGATCTCTGTCACCCCTACTCAGCTGTGCCCTTGTAGTGCAGGAGCAGCCTGAGACAATAGCAAACACATGAGCAGGGCTGTGTTTAAATAAAACTTTATTTACAGAAAGAGGTGGCAGGGTGGATTTGGTCTGTGGGCTTTCATTTGCCAACCTCTGCTTCAAAGTAAGCTGTTAACGTCTTCTTCCCCTCTTGGAAGGGGTTCTGCCAGTTCTGATCTTCACCACGTGTACATAGTTGCTAGTCTCCTGGCTCACGACACCTGTAGTTACACGGACTGTGGCTTCTTTCCAGCGGACGCCTGTGGTCTACTGTGTGCGGTTAGCCAGGGCCCTCGTGGATGACTACTGCTGTCTGGTGCCGGGATCCGTTCAGACGCTGAAGCAGATGTTCAGTGCCAGCCCTCGCTTCTGCTGCCAGTTCATAACCTCAGTCACTGCGCTGTATGACCTGTCGTCAGGTAAACTTTAAGCAGATTGTTACCCTTACAGTGGCTTCGGCCGATTGCTAGTTGTATTTGCACTGAACACCCAGCCAGCGGATGGCCTTTTTTTTTTTTTCTCTCTCTGAAGTGTGTATTTTATTTCAGGCTGAAAGCTAAAGGGATGGGCCACGTGCACCTCTGGAATTTGCTAACAGGGAACTTTCCTTAGTGAGTCCCATTTGCCTGACTC